AGGAAGCCTGGACTGGACCAAAATCTGCGAGAAGTCCTCAAAGGTCATTACCTTCATAGACCTGGCCGGCCATGAGAAATACCTCAAGACCACCGTGTTTGGGATGACTGGACACCTGCCTGACTTCTGCATGCTCATGGTCAGAAAGGGGGAGATGGGGGTTTTTGTTGGTGGGTGGGTGGGGGCAATAGGAATTTTTCATTAGCCTTATAAATATCATGAAATAGTGCCATATAATAAAAGAAAAAGTCTGTCTGAATGTACTTTTTTCAGTTTCTTTCTGTGTATATCTATATATATTTTACACACAGTGAAATATTTAAACTTTGGATAAAACCTAACCTGTTTTAATACTTACCAAATGTGGAATGAAGCCTATACACAGTGTCCACAATGTAAAAAGAATGTTATATTCTTGTTTCTTTCATTAAAGTATAGAAATAATTATTCCCTCACTCCCTCCCTCTCCAGGTGGGCAGTAATGCAGGTATCGTGGGGATGACCAAAGAACACCTGGGCCTGGCCTTAGCTCTGAATGTGCCTGTCTTTGTAGTGGTAACCAAGATAGACATGTGTCCAGCCAACATCCTACAAGGTCAGTCCCCTGGAGTTGCCGCTTGTGTTTGCAGTTAAAAACCTAATGTGTCGCACTCCCTATCAGGCTTTGTCCTATAATTTTTGTGGTTTTGCTTTCCCCCTACCAGAGACATTGAAGCTGCTCCAGAGGTTACTGAAGTCCCCCGGCTGTAGGAAGATCCCTGTTCTGGTACAGAACAAGGACGACGTCATAGTCACGGCTTCAAACTTCAGTTCAGAGAGGTATAACGGTGCAATATCGATCATTTATAGTGATAGATTGATGTTTGTATGCATATTTTATTACATTTTTACATATTTCAATGGTTTTATTCTTTATTCAAATCTATGCTACTATGATTGCTATCAAACATAATTGTGTTGTGTATTTATATCCAATGACAATAAAGAATTTATCTATCTGTCCCAGCCAGATTCAGAATAAAAGTGAAAATGCACCTTTGTAACCTGTGTTTGTGTGTGTGTGCGTGCGTGTGTGTGTGCATGTGTGTGCGCGTGTGTGTGTGCGTGCGTGTCTCCCCCCAGGATGTGCCCTATCTTCCAGATATCCAATGTGACTGGAGAGAACATGGACCTGCTCAAGATGTTTCTCAACCTGCTCTCCTCCAGGACCTCCTACCGTGACGACCAGCCCGCAGAGTTTCAGATAGACGACACCTACTCTGTGCCGGTACACTGACCACCGACAAGCTCTTCACATTAAATGCATTTTACTGTGTGTACATCTACCAAATGCTGCGCTCTGTTTATATCTCAGGGAGTGGGAACGGTAGTATCAGGAACTACTTTACGTGGACTCATACGTCTGAATGATACCATGCTGCTGGGGCCGGACCCACTGGGCAGTTTCATCCCTATTGCCGTCAAATCGATCCACCGCAAGAGAATGCCTGTGAAGGAGGTTAGAGGTGGCCAGACTGCCTCATTTGCTCTTAAAAAGGTAGGAAGGGAAACATGCATAGGTTTATCATGTTAGAGCCTATTCTCAGTTTTGCAGGGTTCTGTGTCAACAACATTGTCACATCTAATCTAGTTTCAGCAGCAGCCTTGAAATGATCTAGAGAAATGATTGTACAACTGTGGAATAGTAACAGTACTGTCTTCTTCTGTCGCCTCTACCTCTGGTTCTTTGTACAGATCAAGCGTTCGTCCATAAGGAAAGGCATGGTGATGGTGTCCCCAAGGTTGAGCCCACAGGCTACTTGGGAGTTTGAGGCTGAGATCCTGGTGCTGCATCATCCCACTACGATATCCCCAAGATACCAGGCCATGGGTGAGTAACGTCGACACATAAAGGCACGTGTTGTAGGTGACTTGGTGGGGTGGTGACTCATTGTTGCCTTCTCAATATGCATAAACTCATTTTTCCTGTTGTCTCTTTTGCTCTTCTTCTTTCTGATCACCACTCAGTCCACTGTGGCAGCATAAGGCAGACAGCCACCATCTTGTCCATGAACAGAGACTGCTTACGAACAGGGGACAAGGCTTCAGTCCACTTTCGTTTTATCAAGACCCCGGAGTACCTGCACTGTGACCAGAGGCTGGTGTTCAGAGAGGGACGCACTAAGGCTGTGGGGACCATCACTAAGGTAGCAAAGCCTTCTGGAAGAAGTTTTTACACTTGGATATGGCTACTATGATGTGGCTAAGTATATTCAAAGATGTGATTTTTTTTTTTTTTTCTGTCTTTTGTGCTCAGCCGTAAAGCTCTAATTTGATGGAACAATTTCCAGGATAATACCTGTAATTTCTATTAAAGGAAATCTATAATGATGGCAACCAATTCCCACAGCGTAACAGAATAGTGGGAAGGAAAATTAATATTCATCAAGAATATTCAATTTCACATACTATTACATACTATTAAGTTATAATAGAAAATGCTGGATACGTCTTGTTAATAATTACTTCATCTATTCCCTTGTGGAACATGTTCCATCCAGATAGGGTTTCAGACTGTGATAGGAAGTGTTCTAGCTGATGGCTGATTTCTTTACCTCTCTCAGGCTCACATAACGACTCAAATTCTTTTCAGCTGCTGCAGTCCACCAATAATTTGCCATCAAATTCCAAACCTCCACAAATCAAAATGCAGTCTACAAAAAAAGCACCGCTCCGAAAAGAGGACGGCACCATGGCAGCCGGTGATGATGTAGCAACGATAGCACAGTCGGCGGGACCGAACACGACACAACCAGTGAGTGACGAGTCAATAAAAGTGTATTATACTATAAAAATACAGTGAGGTGCTGTTTATTCTATTAGTCTGATGTTTCTCGATGCATTTCCTTTTCTTATCGTCACTTGCCCTTACACTGCTGTTGTTTTGTAACTTATTAACTCCTGTGTCCTCCCCCCTTTGGTTTTTTTTTTCTGTGCACCATCTCTTCCACCACCCATTACAATCCTGCTTGATTTATTTCATCTCAAACTCTTAATTTTGTCATGCCACATCACTCCTTTACACTCTCCCCCTCTCCTTTGCTTGCGTGGCTGGCTTCCAAAGGGAGAGGGAGAGGAAGACCCTCAGATAAAGGAGGGCAACAAAGAGAACAAGGTAAAATGGGTTAATTCAAAATGAACAGAGAGCAGTGGAGAACCTGAATAGTGGAGATTGTGTTGTACAAAGCAAGATGGTGGAGTTCATAGCCTGGCAGTCCCTTTTTATAAAAAAAACAAAACAAAAACATGCTGCCTGACATTAGTATTGATTAAAAACGTCAAGTGTACATGAGTTTGGCCTTATCAAATGTTTCTGTTGTCTCTCCTTTGTAGCCAAAGTCTGGAGGAGGTGGGAGGAGAAGGGGTGGCCAGAGGCACAAAGGAAAAGGCCAGAACAGCAGCACCAACTCCACAGCAGCTCCCTCCTCATCGGGGATAGGAGGCTGCTGAACTGCCCTCTCCTCCCTGGCAAACCTCCCTCTCTGCGATCACTCCACCAAGTGTCTTCATTCCACAAACCACAAAGGAAACTGATGTTTGGAGAAAGACACTCTCCTCAGTCTTATTACTACTTGCCTTTTTACACCAGGTCCTATTGTTTTTATTTTTAAAAAGGGAACACAAAGGGTTATGTCCTAAACAAAAAGGCATACACCCTTCATGCATTTTAATGTCAGCTGCCTTTCCTCTTTTGAATGGTTTGGGTAACGGAAAGCAGTGTGGTTTCTGAGGTTAGCCTCACTCAGGATGATGATTTATTTAATTTTATCCATCTTTAAACGTGTGTCTATGAAATCTACAATTGAGTACACTGACTGAGTGTCAGTGGTGGGGAGGGAGGCTAAACCCAAAATAAGGGTCCAGTACCAATATGAGCAGCTATAAGTGAAACTCCCCCATGCATTCCCTGTGTATTTGCAATGAAAAACAGTTAATGTACTATTTATACTGCATATGTAAATTAGCTGTTAGTTGTGCTATGATTGGAAAGATGCCATTGTACAAAATGTATGCAAATCACAAATGAATGTAGCAGAGGCCACATAGTGATTTCAAATTCTAGATATATGGAAAATATAAGCTGTTACATTTTATAATTGTCAGTTATTTATTTGGCATACATGCAGAACGTTGACTTTTGGATGGTCTTGGATCTTTCCACCTACTCTCATCTGCGCTTTTAGATTCAGTAGTATCTGTCATGCTTCCACTGTCAGTCCTCCATCTACACACCTTATACCAATAGTGATAGTACAAACAAATACAGCACATGATCTTGTCACTCCAGCAGTTGCTCATGATTTGAAAGACATGCAGTACTTGCAGTGCTACTTGTAACTTGTCTGGTACTCCATGCGTTAAGGCCTGTTGCTGTTAACACATTGTGACATTTAAAAAAAACAAAAAAACACACACTTTGCCGCTAAAAACTGACCATTAATAAACAGGCTTTACTGAACTTTTCAACAGTGCTTCTTTTTCCATGTGTGCATCATCTCAAGTTTCTTCATTATGCATTAAAAAAATCTGTAGGTGTGAAAAAATATTTTAGCAGAAGGGGTAGCTTTTCAATATTTCTCATGTTCTCAAATATACTGTCACTCCTTGTCTGTACAGTAAGGCTAGGAAAAACTGTAGTCTACATGTTACAGGAGCACAGTGGGAACTGTTGGCTGGATTTTCTGAGAGTAAACACCAGACAGCAGAATTCTTCTGTATTTTGAGTGCTGATCAGTATATTGTGATTCACACAGGCTACAATAGCTACAATCATGTAAAACCAGAAACTAAACCAATTATGTTTTCTGCGCATGGGAAAGTTACAGAAAACAATGAAAGGTAAAAAAAAAAAAAAAAGTTCACTGAAATGACATGACAGTTTCAAGCTTTACACCTGCAAGATCCAATTAGCTTGCCAAGAATTACAACCAATGCAACAAAATTGTTCCTACTGTCTTCAGTAAGTACCCCAAAACTGACCAGCTAAAAATGCAACAAGTGAACATAAACTTTAGTTTGCTGTTTTATCACAAAATAATTCAGTTCTCTTAACATCAACCTTTCAAAGGCCACACTTGCAGTCTAGCATTGTCAAGCATGGTCCACAGTTTGAATTAGTAACAGAAATCCCTGTTTGCTGAAGTATGTGCAGTTTAAAGTTGGAAACTGAAAATTGGTAATGATTTAGTCCTGTGTTGAGTTGCTTTAGCTTGCAAGGATACATGTAGTTACAAATGACAGATGTGTTTACTTTATACACAAAAACATTACAAATTCTCTATATATATATTATTTATATTTATGTAACATTTAAAGTAGATTGTAACACAAAAAGTATTCATCTGCTTCATTTACACTATGTCATACAAGTGCAGACTACACACTACCACTGATAAGGTAGCACACACACCCATAGTCTGGTATCATAATTTGAAAAGGCTTTTCTTGGCGTGTGCAACATTAGTATTTGATGAAATATTTTGGGGAATTCGTGATAATGAGGTAAGCAGCATTCCTCTCAAAAATAAGTTATAACTCTACAGCTCAATGTTTAAGAATGTTCCATTTTGGTCTTAATTTTGAGAATTTACAGCATAATGTGGAATTTAGGACCATGTTAAAAGGCCCAGTGTTTGTGATCACCTGATGCTGCATTTAACATAGACACAACCAGTGAAAGAGAATGCACTAAATGCCTCACTCCTGCACAAAGCACAAAATCAGCTATAAAAAGCTGAACAGCCAGTGTAGTCAGTAGTGTGTTCCAGTCCAGTGTGTACAGACTTTTCTGTACTAGAAGAGTGTTTTACTTGTATAACTTCATATAGTTTTAAATAAGAAGTGAAACCTCCTATAGTGGGTCTGAATAAAAATAAAAGTATGCACCTTTATGCACACACGCTTCATCTCTTACAAACCAGTCGACCTTTATGGTGCCATAAGGGTTGCCTAGTCATCATCATTAGGATGTCACCATTGTGTAACGCTGAAAAGGTGATGCGACAGATAGGGTCTGTGAAGTAGTCACTAACTGTAGCAGACAATGGCGTCTAATATATGATTGACAGTCTGTAAGAAACAAGTGAAAAGACATCAACTATACACAAGACGCATAGGACGGGGTAGGATTCAGCTGTGTTTTTGTTGTGTGTCTAGCCGTCAATGTCCCAGCTGAAGAGGTGATGTTTCACCAACATGTCCTGCACTCCCTCTTTCAATGGTCTCTGCTCCTTTTCCTGGAAAAGAGAAATGTGGAAAGCTTTTACTTAAAGACAAACATGACACCACAGAGGGCAACTCCATTAAACTGGACCTCTTACCAAACACCAATCAGCAATTTTAGAGGAAAGCATTTTGTATTTGACAGCTTAAATTAAAAAATCTTGCTGACATCACTGACTGGGGTCTGGCCAGAGGTGATTTCAATATCCAACACACAGAGAGTTGTGCACTAATGTTTTTTTTCCCCTCTGATAACTACTGACACCAGCGCATCTATCACTTTGTTGAATGGCTCCACAAGCATGCAAAAGGACAGGCTCTATTCACTGACAGGAGATGATCTGATGAATGGTGAGGACAGACACTGGAGAGATGACTTGTTTGATAGGGTATCTTAAATCAGCAGCTTAATAAACTAGTATAACTAATGACTAGGCTATAGCATCTACAGTCTCATTCATGACATGTTACCTAGAGATCCCAACTAAAGAGGTGATGCTGAACCAGCACATCCATAACTTCTGCTTTCAGAATAGTGGATTTCTGAAACAGCATAAAGTCATAGCGTTTTTCTCCGCTGAATAATAAGTTGTCCTTGAATAGTAATACCTGCCTACTACTGCTCTATATAAAAGATATCCATCCATGTTTTGCTCACCTCTTTCTTGTCAGGTAGCTCGCAATCCTGGGAGAGACTGAAGGCAAACTTTGATAGGACCCTGAGGAGACAATAACAGACTGGTCATTATTTCTTTCAATGGTCAGATCATGTGTCTTGCTCTTAAAGCCCTTTTTAGACATTCACTGATATTTTCAAACTACTCAATAACGTGTGGTAAATGTGGAAAATAGTGGGTGGAGAAGACACAATACATTTCACATTGCTAGTCAGGATTAAGTCAGGAATCCAGTAGTGAGTTTCTAAGCACCTCATCCTATTTCATCATCTCTCATATGCTTGCTCTTGTTCTCCAAATCTGAGACAGCTAGAATCAAGAGAGACTGCAGTTTTATAGTTACGTAGTTCTTACCTGAGCTCACACTTGATCTGTACCCATCCAGGACTGCGAAGGAAAGACCAGGGATGATACCATTTCTCTACAACAGCCATGCTGGAGCACAACACCTCCATCCATAAGTGCAGCACCTGCTCACTGGAGGAACAGACACATGTTAAGAACCATGTGGGTGTGCATGTTATTCATCATTTGTAGATTTGCACATTTTAAGTTTGTACCATTTGACACTGTGTTCTGAGGGACGATGATGAGATCAGTTCTCTGTGTGTGTGTGTGTGTGTGCGTGTGCGTGTTTCGGTCTGGAAAACTCACTTGAGGCCGACGCAGACAAGAGACCTAAACTTGACATCCATCTGAGCATGCGCCGAGTCGTGGCTCATGTTGACTGACTGCACCGCCTGGAAGAGTCGACAGAGGGCGCTCATGCACTTCCTACTAACCTTCATTTTTTCAGGCTGAGTTTACAGACTTTACAGAGACTCATCCTCACCAGACAGACACTACCTTAAAACAAACATACTGGGACGAGTTTTTCATGTTCATAAAAAATAAATAACAAAAATATTCAACTTAATATTTACCTTTACATTGAGCTAGATAAAACTAACTTGCAGTTTTTTTTAAATATTTCTACTGATTACTCACTCTGTACAGCAGCTCCTCTGGTGTTAGTACTTTCCCATCCTCATCCAACCTAGTAAATACCACAGACAATGAGTTGTTATTTTATAATGTCACACTGTGCATGCAGACAAGGGTCAGTTCCCTATTTATGTTCTTAACAGACAGTATCTCAGTTCTTGTTTCCCCATCCTGTTGCAAATCAAAGTCAAGTACATCCCTGATCAGACCTGGAAGAGTTTGGATGCTCTAGTCTTCAAAACATGTGATATTTATTTTTTATGTAATTTTGCTTTAACAGATTACAATCTTTCACACCTATCCTAAATGTGAGTGTTTGTGTTCTACCTGTAGGTTTTACATAGCACCAGCCTTGAGTAGACAGAATTGAAGTCCCTCTCCACCTCTCTACTGGCTGCCTGAGAGAAAACCAGAAGACAAAAGATGATTTAACTGAAATTTATACAACAGTGGGCAATGTGATTCAATGTGGAATTAAAAAAAAAAAAAAAAAAAAAAAAAAAAAAAAAGAGACTCTCCTACCTCTTCTATGAATAACCAAGGGTGACAGGGCCCTCCCAGTATAGACGGTTTCTTGAGACCGTGCTGAAAGATGGCCTTTAGGGCTGGACACAGTGTGCCCCTGGCCAGGTCTGTCACTGCCTCTGTCACAGCGTCATCGCCTGCTAACGAGTACTGTGGAAAAAAAAGATAAAAACCACAAAATATCACATGGACTGAACACTGTAACAAACATCTGCTGGGCAAATCAAGTACAAGCTGAAAATTAACTGTTTCCTTACCTCTTTGCTTCTTTCGTCTAGGATCTCCACAAACTTTGCTGGAAACCAGCCTGTTATGAAGAGCCACAGAAAATTTGTCAAATAAGCTGCTAGACACAGAGTAAATAAAACTCCAATAGCCAGATGGTAACAGTGGGTGTTATACTGTAAGAGAAGTGCACACACCTCTGAGGCCATTAAGTTCTCCTACCCAACAGTGTTCATCCTTCTGTGAGATGATCTGCGGGAGAAAGATAAAAACACAGCAGGATAAGAACTGGAGATGAGGTGTTCTGAATAGTGTACATGACTGGAAACAACAAGTCGTGTTTTGTTTGTGTCTCTGTGCAAGTCGTGACTCACAGTGATGATGTCATTCTTTCGGAAGCCAAGTTCATCGTCATCGTGTCGCTCAAAGTCCAGCAAAGCCTTTGCCCGTCTCCGTCGGTTGCGGGATACGACAAGGAAATTTTCATGATCTCGCTGGTGGCTCTCCATGGAGTAGTCAGGAGTCAGGTCCTTAAGAGACAAGATGGGAGAACGCAGGTCAAAATGAAGTCAAAATTGATGAAAATGTTGAGTTAATAATAGGTATCTATAAAAATAGCTAGGATTTGATGGTATTACAATATTACATTTAGGACTAAACCATTTAGCCTGGCACGCCAGGAAATGGAGGAATGCCGCTCTTAATGCTTTTCTTATTTTGGTTGATTCACAGTCCACAACAGGACATAAAGCTCACTGTTCTTGTGCTGCAGTGTGTCAACTCACAGTACTGGAGTGACTTGGGTCCAAACAGTGGAAGTGTTCTGCAGTGCGGGCTATGGCCTCTCGCAGGGCAGCCACCAGCTCTGTCTGCTTAATGTTCTTGGACTTCAGAGCCTCTGCCTCATCCTCCCCAAACAGCAGGGAACTCAAGGTGGACTTCCTGCGCAGGGACTGTCTCCTCACCACCTGATCATACACAAACCAAAAAATAAGTTCTGTTTTTTACTACCTTTAATAAAAAGAATGGGCACGTACACCTCCTAATCTGTGTGATGTGTTTTTAGCACAGCTAGATACTACTTGTTTGTAATATTTTATGTTTTACCACCATTTGCAAAAACTACAACTGACCTTGTTGAGATTTGTGCTGAGTGCTGTGTTGTTTCCATTGTTGAGCTGAGCCTGTTCATTTAGGATATAAGCCAGGTGCTTGTGTCGGTGGGCCTCCAGACTCTCCTGGGACAGCGTCCCTGCTAGCCTCATAGCTTCCCCAAGAACTGCAGGCCCATCTCTCAGCTGGCTTGGCAAGTCCGACAGAGTATTAAAAATGGAAGCAGAGTTCTCTGATGATACAAGCTCCTCCTCCTGAAGAATGGGGGAGTAAATTTCACAAAGATTAATACTCAACATATGCAGTTTTCGTCTATAGTAGGTGTAGTTGTGAATAGCTGCCATGAGATTTCTAGCTGCAGTAGTGTAAAACAACTGTTGGTACTAATTGCTGTACTGTGCTGAAACAAAATGAAACCATCATCATCATCTTCCATGCAAGAAAATCAAACAAGTTATTAAGTGATTGAAACAATAAAATAAACTAACTCTGCAGCATCTCAGCACAATAAAATATTAACTATATCAGGGAGCACGTGGTATAGTGCAAATACCTTGATCTTGAGCATGCCCAGTGTGACCTGGAAGAGCACCAATGATCCTTGGTAGAAGAGGAGATCCCAGATCCTCAGGAGCAGACGGATGTCCACCACACTGGCAAATGATGTCAGGAACCAATGGAGTGTGATCAGCGACAGCTCTGGATGTGTAAAGGAGGAGGGGGTTACATACCGTATGCTATAGACTGTTTATACTCAGTCTACACAGCAGTTAGTCTTAGTTTCATATTAGTCTACCACAATTTGTCATTTCCATCTCACATTTTGCCCCTCTGACCCCATGCACCACACTTTCACATCTTTCCTAATACCCATCTTTACCTATGTCATGCTCCTGCAGAAGGCGGTCGAGGGCTGGCAGGTACTGAACAATGAGCTGGCGGAGAACCCTCTGGTCTGTTTGGACGCCCAGCAGAGTGGAGGAGAAGTAGGATGGAGGAAGGAGGTCTTCGATTAGGGCACACATCATCCATAGTACATCCTCCTCCTCAAGAAAGAGCAGCAGACAGGAAACCACCTGGGGAAAGAGACAGTGAAAGGGAAGCAGTGAAGATGGAAATAGTAAGAAGAAAGCCACAAGAAAGACCATAAGTAAATAGAATTTAAAAAGGTGTGTGTCTATTTATCTCTGTTTAGTAAGATAGCTGGTGTAGTGTTGTTTTTTTTCCCCCAATGGTGACATTAGGTTCTGTATGTACAGTAGGTGTTCTCACCATGCCAGTACCCTGACAGTACCCAATGTCTGGGTAGAGCCAGGCTAGGCCTCTCAGTACCCGCCTCAGCCTTGGCACTCCAACACTGGTCAAACTACTGAAACAAGCATTGGTTGGCATCGTCCGTAACAGGTCCTTCTCTATCTGAGGGACAGAAGTTAAAAACAACAAAAAAAAACAATCAAAAACATCTTAACTACAAAGACCATTAACTGACTGACTGGCATAACAAACTTAGACTTGATCACCTACTAAATCTGACTGTGCAGATGATTGCACAGTAGCTCTTGTGTTATTCTTCCATGAGAACGCACCATGGCAAATGTGTACCGTTTCATGTGACAGAGCCATCTTCAATGCACTGTGACATCATGTGCATACCTATACAGATCTGCAGTAGATTAACAGCTGCTTCATTCACGTGTTTTAGGGCTGTACAGGATTCATGGAATCAATTACAAAAGTGTGTAATACATAAACATGCCAGTGAAGATTCCTGATTCTTTGATGCCATTTAAGTAGTTTCCCATACTATTTAGAGATGTCTTTAAGAAGCACTATGCTTCAGTCCTGGGTAGGATAACCACAATGGGAATGTGTTTTGTTTACACATGTACATTTGGCTAGGGATTTTACCTGTTTCGCTGTAGTGGAGTCCTCATTGGAGCTGTTCTTGATGATTTCTCTGTAGGAGATCTCAGAAGTCCTCTTCTTCTGCAGAGCTCCAGACAGACGCATCCAAAGCTAGCAGACAGAACACCTTTCAAACTCTAAAGCTGGTTTTGTGTACTAAATAACTAAAAGATGTAAACACTCAAAGGCAACTGTAGCTCTCTAGTGGCTATAAGTGAGTAAGTAATGTAAATATGAATATTATATTATAAAGTATTTGAGCCCAAGGTGTACCACCTCTAGTCAGCTCCACAAATAGTTCATCACTACCGTGCAAGTCTACTTACCTGTGGCCTCATGCTGTGAGGTATGCCCCCTAGCACCAGTGAACGCAGACGCTCAGAGCGTGGAAGGACAGGATCAATGAGCTCCCAGGTCAGGTCACCCACTGTGTGGTTGTGGGTGAACTCCAGGTGGGCTTGCCAACGCAATCGCTGCTGGGGGTCTTCACGCTGGGGTGAACCTTCGCTGCCCAGCCAGGACCTGGGCTCCTCACCGTCTGAGTGACAAGAGAAGTGGATCAGAAGTTGGTATGTATAGGTGTTTGTCTTCTTTGTAATTATAATGCTAACATAGCTAAGCACCATGTGACCTTTTGAATTGAGGAGGCTGCAATATTGGTAAATGATAGCAAGTAGAACTGTATGTAACCAAGCATGATAGAGACACGAGGAAAGGAAGTCAGTAGGACAATCTCAAACTCTCTGGTGGGAGATACATACACTGCTCAATTATTACGTGTAAGTATTCATAAAATATTTCATCAATCAGTTGAATGCAGAAAATATACTGCTGCTGGACAAAATATTGGATCAGCAGAGAAACAGTGAAAGAGCAACTCAGTTAGTTGCAGTGTAACTCAGAGATCACATGCACTCGATTGAGGAAGTTTATCATTTTGGAAGAAAATTTATGTCTGTACATGTGAGTGAACACATTACCTTCAGTGTCCATTCTGAAGCCAAACTCATCATATTGGGGTTCAGGCTGTTCTGAGGAGTCTTTCTGTAGAGAAAAAAACAAAACAAATAACATTAATTTCATTAGTCCACATCTAGGTGCTGCTGAGGATGGCCGCAGCAGCTTTTCTACGAATCTTAAATGCCAGTTAGCAAAACAGACTAGATATCAGTATCACATGAGAACAAAGTTCCTAGGGCATTTTTATTTGTCTTTATACTCTGTCACACTATGCAGACGGGTCTTATTTTTCTGCTGTTTTGTTATTTAGAGTCGCCATGTTTTTTATGAGCTTCTATTTCTTGTTCCAAAATTCTCATATTCTTTTCAATCTCCATTTATTGTCATCAAAACAAAAGACATGATAAATGAAGATTTGCACATAAACAACGTATGAAGTCGCATCCTCACTTGATGGTACTTTGCCAAAATGTCCTGAGGCCACATGCTCGGGGTGAGAGCAGAGAATGGCCCACCAGGGGCTGGTGTGTAGGTGCCTAAAACAGAGAGAGAGATTAATGTATTGAAAAGCAAATATGACAGATCCTACAAGGGAATTTTGAGAATAACAAAGCTGGATAAAACCACAAATGAGTTATTAAAATACAGCCAGAGTAAAGAGGAATAACCCTAAAATAATAAATCAAATATTAAAGATTGGAGTTATGTCTGCAGTCCAAGGTTAGTGTGCATTTGCTGGTGACCTGAGACAAATTTACAGAGCAATCCTTTTCAAATTGAGAGCTTTTAGCATTTACGTTGAAAAAAGGCAAATCCATACCTGACATTTTGTTGGTAGTAGAGTGAATGGCTTCTATACACAGAGACCGCAGTCACTCTGGAGAAGGAAGGTCAGCAGATGGTACGCGCTCTGTAGAAAGCACAGAGGAAGAGTAAAGGTTGGTGGTTTCATTCCTGTCTCAATCTAAGAGACACTAAACTCCAAGTGTCCCTCTGGTGAGTTTGCTCCATGTGTGTGTATGTGTGAATGTGAGAAAAGCCAATGTCACTCTGAGAAATTAAGATCTTTAAACCTGCCTATCAATACCCTACACACACTAAGAAAACAACAAAAAAACAATGCAAATACCTTAACAATGAAGAGTCCAGACTTAGGTCCAATAATTCTGTAATACCAATGTTCACTTCTTCATAAATGAAGGGAGACACCAAGAGGTTCTACATAATTACAGTAAGGGAGAGAAGAAGATATACAGAGACAGAGAGAGAGAGAGAGAGAGAGAGAGAGAGACAGAGAGAGACAGAGAGACAGAGAGAGACAGAGAGACAGAGACAGAGACAGAGAGACAGAGAGAGAGAAAGAGAGAGACAGAGAGAGAGATTCTTGTGTCTCGTCTGGCCATATGACTGCTTCATTTACCAGAGGCTGATTCTCTCTTAATGCTGTGTGCGAGTCTGTTCACGCTCTATTTTTACATAGTGAAGGTCCTTGGGCAAAATTTAGTAAACAACTTTTTCTCAGCGGATTTAATGTCATGTTTTTGTTGGGAATGCTTACACATCACCACTTGGTAAACTCTTGAATATGACTGTAATATACAGAGGTCTTTTCCTGTACGCTAAAACCTATATTTCATCTCCTTTAAAGGCTAGTTTTAATGTTAGACAAACCCATGGCAAAATGTCTCTTTACAATTCCTATAGGTTAAGACAATATCAAGCAGTTCATTCCAACCATAACCAAGTAAACAATGAAGTGAAAACTGTTGAGGCAATGACCATGATCTCTTCTCTGCACAGCCATCCAGGGCCCTAAGAATTCTGGCTGTGGTTACGTCTCATAGAGAAGTTTATCTCATGTCAGTCTAACTGCCGCGACATGTTTATCTTTTCTCTCAATTTTCTTCTGTCTGCAAATATTCAGTTGGCATGACAGCTCTTCAACCTAACTGACAATAAACAAATCGACACAATTTCTAATCAGGCTATTGGCTTACAGGATGCACTCTTGGATGACTACAGAGTTGTACAGCTATGAACAATATGTGCTGCATATAAACACATGAAATCGGTAAGCCAGATCCAAAGAAAGCAGATCCAAAAAATACCCACAACAAAACATATTGCTGCCCAAATACATTTTGAATTCACACAGAGAGAGGAAGAGGGAGAGAAAGAGAGAGAGAGAGAGAGAGAGGATGCTAATAACATCACGACATCTTGCTGTCACATTCATAGTAAAAAGACTTCTACAACGATGGACCCATGGCAGTAAGATCTCGGTAGATTCCTGCAAAGGCTCTCGGTTTCTCCCAATCCATCTCGAACTCTAAAGCATTACAATAAAAACACATGTGAAACAGATGAGTGGGCACTTTGTAGAGGAAAATGGACAGTATAGCAGTGAGAGGGGACAGCATTTGGAATGTAAGCTGCTAATCCACACACACACACACACACACACACACACACACACACACACACACACACACACACACACACACACACAGGCAGACCACAACAGAATAACAGCCATAACCAAAATAGGCTCACCAGCATGCAAACACTCTGCCAAAATGATTCATTCCAGCAGCAGACTTGCGGCATCTGAAGAGGGATTTAGGACTTAAGAGAGATGAGAAATCAATTTGAGGTTTGGAGGATGGCCAAGTACTTTCAGGCTAGCTGTGTGAAGCTCAGGGGAGAACTGGGATTTTGAAGCTACTCCCTTACAAGAACACAAACAGTTTAATCACCTGCCAAGAAAACCAACATGACAGACCCCCCACCCCCCGCAAACTGTTGCACACACTGACAATCTAACTGCAAAGGAAGCCCCAAGTTAGATGTGAAATGATTAGGTTACTAATCAAGTTTAAGTAATATCCTCAGTTTGTCAAATATTAGGATGTGCTGTTTTGTCTTTGTGATACAGTAGTAAACTGGTTGTTTATGGATTTTCAGCTATTGGTATAAACTGAGAACATCACCATGACCTCTGTGAAATTGTGATCATGAACGTTCTATTTCCCGAGTCAAAGTATGATATGTTCCTTACAGCAAAGAATTATAAAATCTGATCATTTCAAACAAGTAGGTAGTTTAAAAATTCGATGGCAAGAAGTTAACCCTAACCCTGCGGCTGAAGTTAGTTGCAGAGTAAATAGGATCTCCCATCAACAACTTTATATTATGTCAAGAATAATAACTCATGAAATATGTGTGTATTTTTACCATACATACGCATATAAAAAATACTCCACTATCAAGGTCTTTGACATTTTATATGACAATATCAATATATATTCTGATAGTTAAATTTTATTTAAAAAAATAAAATAGAGAAAGTGTTTACTGATTTTTTTTTAACAATTGTAAAAATGTGTACATTATCACATTAATTAAAAAAAATATACATTATCACAATAGTGCCATGTCGACAACTCACAGGCATATAAGATCCTATATATTGTATATAAAAAAATAAAAATAAAAAAAAAACTTCATTCATTTCAGTTACTGTTACAAGCTTCATCAAAACACAATCTTTGACTACAATCTACTGCCAAGGATGAAACTCCCAGAAACACCATGAAGAAACCAAATCATGTCTGGTGACTAAACAGAAGACTTGGATGGGCCTATGACAGGGAGTCTTTCCATCTTATTCTGAACACAAGAAGATCTTTTCCATTGTTGAGGTGTGGCTGTGCTCACCTATGTTTGCTCACACAGGTCAACACCCTGCTGCAAGAAAAGCAAAGAGTAACATCCTGCTCTCCACTCAGGTCAAATTTTCTTTACATAACCCCACATCACAAATCACAAATAAGCCTCAAGGGGCTCAACAACCTGTACAGCATTACAACGCCCTCTGTCCTTAGACCCTCTACAGACAAAAAGTGTGTTTGTGCAAAGTACAAAGTAAAGAAAGTTCTCATTATATATTATTGATAGTAGAGTTTGTGTTGCCCTGTCAATTTGCCCACCCGACAGCCCCTCCATTTCCCAAACCCCTCCCACAGTTGTTCTTCCAGTAACCACAACAACTGTGAGTCAGTTTCCCCTCTTATCAAACTCGCATCCACCTACACAGCCATGAATATCGGAGAGTTACTGCCTCTTGCCCTGCCAATTTAACTTAGGCCGAATAATGACAGACAGTCTCTAGTTCTGTTTGGCAGACTGTATATATCTGTCACTCTCTCATTCACACACACAGCCACATGTCACATCTATCCATTCACAGCTTGGTTTACAAATAAAGACATGTGCCACTGCAGTGAACAGGAAAATCACTTCATAAAGAGCAAGGAAATAAGAAGATATTGGGAAAACCCCTCAAAATCCCCTGCTTTCCAGGGAGTTTTAGGAGATATAAACACCAGTCTACAGGGGAAAGGAGCTTATATACAACTTACAGATCTCTTGCAAAACTGAGCTGTCCACAGCACTAAAGCTTTATTCACAACGAGCCATAAGACATTCGGTCACATAGAGCAACAAGTGACTCAACTGGATTTGGTTGATTAGTGGTTAGAGAGCACACAACATAGCAGGATGTTAGGGTGTAACACGATGATATTTTTTACATATATAAATTGCAGCATTCATCCGCTTGGAAGGTGTCACCGTTAAAACTGTCAGTGCACCCAGATGGTGTGCATTAAAACTGATGTTGTGCACGGTATTGTACGCACGCATGATGAAGCAAAATATCACTTTGGGCGTTATTGTAGTATTCTGCATACTTGTATGTAAGTGTCTTTACACTGTGTCACCGATATCCTGTAGAAAACATAATGCTCAATTTAGCTAAATTAACGTTTCGTCAAACCTCAGCTGACGTCAGGTGCGGTAAAAAAAAGAAAAAGAAAAAAAAAAGACTACAATGAGCAACACCTAATTTTTCAATTTGCTCGACTGCATATGAATTTATTTACAAATGTTACTAAATAAAACGTGCAGTATAACCATAAGCTACGCCTACGAATGAGTAAAACTCCTAACATCCGTCTCAGAGATCAGTGTAATGCATTCACTGAGTTGTCAGCTGTTAGCCATACATGCTACCTTTAGCTTTTAGCTAACACTTACATACAACATTGTACAACGGCCTGCTCGCATGACTTACCGTGACATTATTATAGGGAAAGCACAAGGTTACGGTTTCTGGCGGACGTGTCTTCTGCTGTTTGAAACGGGAAAACACCATATGCTATGGCATCATTCCTCCCGTATTTGTGATTTCCCTGCGTTGTGCACCTGCTAGCGACGTATACCTCCGTCGTATTCTTACGCCCTTCAACGTTTTCCCTTGCCATCCTGAGAAGTAGTCCCACATCCCGGAACTACACTTCTCAGCCAACATATCCTTCCGCAGGGGAATAGATGACGTAGGCACACGACGTGTATTTGTTCCACTCATTCATTTTTCTCGTCCCTTTCCTCGTTCACTCCAGCACATACGTCAACAAGTCACGATTCAAAAACGTGGCCTACAAATCATAAAGTGAAATGCAATCGGCAACACGTGATCGTGGAAGTCTGAGCCCATGGGGATGTTTGTTGATGTTTATGTTGATGCTTGTATGTTTAACATTCTGGGTAATTGATTTTTTTTAAAAGGGTTGTCCCTAATAAACTGCCAGTGAGAGGAAAAAAACTACAGGTAAGCTGTGACACTTTGTTCTCCTGATCTTCAGCATTTGATGGAAAGGTTTTTATTATAAAGGTTCATGCTCTAATAAGATTAAAACGTATATAATTAGCCTATTAGTATCTGTTGGTAGGCCATTAAAAGTCTAAGTTTGTATAGGTAAACTACCCATACTAAATAACATTACTAAATCAAACAGGAAAGGTTTTTGAATATAATGACAAAAACAGAAGAGTCGTATTGTTTCAACATGGAATCTTTATTCATTTGGTTATTATGGGACAAACCTTGAACGTCTTGTAAAACTGTTTCCCTTATGATTGATGTTACAACATAATGCTTTTACATTCTTGCTCCACAAGATATCTCTAGTGCGGTGAAGCTTCCTGGCACACTCATTATAGTGCAGCCACTGAAAGAAAGACCTTACATTATACTGTGTGTTTCCTTTATTACAGCCCCCACAAGCCTCCATCTCCACACACACACACACCAACCCACACACTCACGCAGGCACACATTCAAACATAGACCTGTGATAAGTTATTATATTTGCAGATGTGTGCTCATATACTATAAACTGGCCTCAGGGGGCAGTGGCCTGTGTTATCTTACGTTAGTTAGTGGGAGTCAAGTTAAATGGGCTTTAGAACCAAATGATCTGCTATTCTCCTATTTCTGAGAAGATTCATGCGTGACAGGAGCTGGCGCTTTGATGCTGGAGCTGGAAATTTTGCACAGTGAGAGACTACATTTTAATTTCTTGTTCCAAAAAAAATTAGATTGTGTGTGTGTGTGTGTGTGTGTGTGTATGAAAACACACGTTGCATAGCCTCCTGACTGAGGATCCGATAATCCTTTAAAATGATAATCACTTTCTCTCAGTGTCTTTACCTTTTATATTAGTCCATCCTTCAGTTCCTGTATCCCTCCTTCATGTTTCCTGTGTTCTGGCTTCTTTTGCCACTGACACTCACACATACAGTGAAAAGTTAGTATGTTTCCTTCCCTTCTGCCTCTGCCTTCTGACACATGAGTATGATGCCACTCTGTTTCTAACCCTCTTGCATGCTCAGTTTGCTGCACCATGCCAGAGTGAGTCACATCATTAAAAATGCTGCAGCTTAAGCCGACCTTGCCCACAGCTTGCCGGCCAAATAGCCTTAAAATACTGCATCCACCCTAGATGTCACTGTGATGTGGGTGTGGCTCGGTCCCTCTCTGCCACCTCTCTCTCCCCCCTACTCCACCTGCTCTAGTGCTCATCTGTCTGGCTGTTTTCGTCATCTCTGATAGAATGATGTGCACTGTCAAACAAGCCCTGGATCGTACACTGCGGTTGCTATGACGTCAGACAGAGGCGGAGAGAGGCGGAGCGGGATGTCAGGGGAGAAATGAGGAGACAGAGATCGAGAAACACAGGGGGTGGGAGGATACATGGGAGAGGGAGGGGAGAGAAACAAAGCTGCGATAAGAGAAGCGTGAGTGAAAAAAAAAATACAGGAGGATGAGCAAGAGATTCAAGAGGGTGTGTGGCTGAGGCACAAGAAAAGGAAATGATTAAGGGCATAGGTAAGGTTAGGAATAAAGGGAAGGCAGAGGAGAGCAGAGAAAGCAGAGGTAGGAGAGATGAAGTGGGCTGATATATTGTTTATATGAAGCAACAGAAACCTCAGGCTCACAGCCTGGCTGTATAGGTGGATGGGTTTTTAGTCAGCTCAAAATCTTCTGCACACACACATACACATGCACAAATGTAACTGACATGTTCAATGGAAGGTGAAAGAGTTTATTGATCCAGATGAACCAGCAGGTTATATGAGAGAAGAGAAGAAACACAGAGAACCACTTGTTCACACTGGATCAATTTGCTGCAGTCTTGCAGTTTTGCTTCAGGACAGAAGATAGCGCTGTTGTATTACATCAGGTCTTATACAATTAACCATGCATGTGGGCCATATTTGAGGGGATTATTGTAAATGTAAATGTGTGTGTGTGGCCACATGTGCGCATGTGTGCAAGCATGTAGTGATGCTTATGTAAATGGGCTCGTGTGCCCACATGTATCAGTGCTGTTTCATGTGCAATCTTAATGTGTGTACATGCATGGATATTTCTCTTTATTATGTCATATGTATATATGTTTTTTCAGCATGCATAATGAAATCGCAATGGGCCACGAGTGTCTCTTATGTTCACATTCTAATATTTTCATGTGGACTAAGCTGAACTTGAAATAACTTGAAACCACTGAGCCGGAACATGATTAAGTGTAGATGTCTCCACAGTCATATCAGAAATGCATAGGGCACCCCTTAAGCAACTCGGAGTTCACAGGTTTATGTAACCTGAATGATGTGGCCTCGGCCTTTGGGATAATTTACATCATTTATGTATAAAAGGCCAGGATAGACTTCTCTCTCTCTCTCGGGCTGGATCATGGGGCTTTCACGCCGCTGTTCTCTCAGTCTCAGAGGACCACTCCTGTGATGAGGAGGATTGAAGGTAAAGGGCAGGGGCTCTTGGGCTACACATTACATTGACAAGTGATTTCTCTTGGGTGTTGTGGTGGGCGTGGCTGCTCTTTGTATTTATGACTCTGTTTTTTAAAATCTATATTGTACGCGTGGTGGAGCACGTGAGGCAAAGAAAAGGGAAGGAAAACACATTTCATATCTGTAATACCGATTTGATGAAAGAAAGAAAAAAAATCATCTACATGGCAGGAAGAAAAAAAAATATATTAAAAAAATCATGTTTCTTCTTTTCTGGGTCATGGGGAGGGTAAGGGGGAGAGGAAGAATGAAAGAGAGGGGAAGATGAATGACAGGAGTCTCATGTGTATCACGACATCTTTAATGCCTTACTTTTTTTTTTTTCCTTTTCTCCGTCTACAGCTTATTTGATTATTTATGGATGTCAGGTCATTTGGGAAATGATGCCCTGAGCAACCACAAGCACACACATACAAACCCATCCACACAGTCAGGGAGTTGATGTGATGTAAATGAGGTGAGTGTGATGATGGACACAAAGGTCGAGAGGTACAAACATACTGAATGTGTATAAAATACAGAGCCAGAGAGGAAAAGATTGTAATCATAAAGCCACAGCAGAATTTGCAGGTGTTATTTTCACGGCAGCATATAAAAGACACGCATTAATGCATCGCTGCAATAAAATCCTCATATTTCTACCTTGATAAAATGCTACAGGAAACCTAAGTCACCGTGTTATCACCATGGAAGGAAATCAGAATTCTGCAATACAGCATCTGTTGTATCACAGTAATTTGTAAAAGTTCCAAGTTATGTAACTAGTGCATCCAACAATTGTAACTATTCTTTGTAAAGCCATACAGTCATATATTATGGATTTCCTTCCTGTCATGAGTGGCTGTTTGTATAACAATTACGTCTCTTCATTGTGTTCATCTGCTGTAGTCATTTGTTGGGTGGGAGGCCGGCCATTATTTGTCTTAGAGATAGACACAGATGAATGGAGTTTGGAGCTACATAAATCCCTCTAACCTCTTCCCTCCCTTCTAGTATTAATGACCCTGAGTGTAATGCTTGTTAACCCTTGAACCCCTGGCTCTGTGTGTTACAGTGTCTTTGTGTGTGTGTGTGTATGTGTATGTGTGTGTGTGTGTGTGTGTGTGCCGGTCCAGATTAACTCACAGCTGACAGAGATGTCTAAAAATGGTGTGGATCACAGTCCATTATAAACTAGCAGATTAGTGTACACACTTTCAAATCTACGTCATGCCAATACTCCAGTTGTGTAGTATGGTAGCGAGAACTGCAGTGTAGCTGGGAGTATGAAGGCATAAATTACTTTAACCTAGCATTATATTTTCACTCACTTATTGTGCAAAGTAGTTTTGAATCATTGCAATAAACATGAGCAAATCATTGTCTACGAACCCCACAACACCCCTAACTCTCACCTTGAGAATCATTGTTTCTCAATAATTTTGAATTACAAGTTGTTATGGCTCATGCTGCTGATTATATTGATGTGAAATCAGACTATAATAAGAGCTCATGTTTGTGTTATTGGCTGAACTGGTTTTGTGATACAGGTTTCTAACAGAGGTTAATAACTACTGTATATTGGCTTCAGGGATTTCTCCTGCACACAGCCCATTCACATCCCCCCTGTAATATTGTCATTATGGGAAACTCAACATGGCGTCTGTCTCATAAGATAGATCATCACATTTGCATTTTTTCCGCAAACTTCGTAGTCAACTAAGCATTAGAGAAACACTGCAGCTGGAAGCGGCGGGGTTATGAGACAGAGTGCTTTACTATTGTTCATCTCATAAACTGCTGAGCTCCTGCTCTATGGTTTTTACCGCTGCTACACTCTGCCACAGTTATTGCCAACATTCTGCTTACATCCACGTAGGGATGGTCAGCTGCTGCGTCCGTGATAACGCTTCATAAAAAAAGAATGTCCACTTGACTTCAACACATTTCTGTTTGTTGAGCTTAAGTTACTAAGTATCAGCTCTTGTCTTCTGCCATACACCAGGTGGTCTGTGTAGTGTAGAACTGGAACACTATACAACATATACAACAAGCACTTTAAAACAAGTTTACTAGGG